AATCTATTTTTAGTGAGGAGCATCTTTAGTTAAAAGTTAATAATTTGTTGAACTCTTAGAAAGCTTCTTGAATGTTAAAGCTTGTCATAACTTTTAAGTATAATATTCCATGTTAGCGAGAAACTAACGTTTAATCACATAAATTTACTTAAGTTGGGTAAGTTAGGTCTCCAATAAACTTCAATAAAAATAAAGATACGATGATTTTATTTATAATTAGAAAGCTTATGTTTAAATAATTTGTTCATTACTCTAATTCGTCAGTATCATTATCAACATTTGATTATAATCTAATAGACACTAGCTTCATCAAATCATTTTCTAATATTAAATATAAAAAAAATTATTTGATGCTTTCTTTGATGTGAAGGAATTAATTAATACCAGCTGTAAATATAAAAATTTACACCACATCTTACACCGTTAATTTGGTCAAAATCAATAGTGTAAATTAATTACAGTTAATTTAAATGCAAATTAATTACTGAAAATTAATGAAAAATAGTTGTAATAAATCTACACCGTTGATTTTGATTAAATCAACGGTTTAAAATGTGGTGTAAGTCTTTAATACTTACACCTGGTGTCAATTGATCCCTTCTCTTATTTGACAGTGAGATTATCGAATCTATAAAAGAATCATGCATGTCATATTAGAAGGCAACAAAATTATAATTCATGTTTCTTTGCATGGGATTCTGACTGTAACATGAAAAACCTATTGAGACAGAAAATATAATTAATAAATTCATAGCATTTGAATTTATTTAAAATTTATTTATTTTTATTTATCTCTTTAAGCACTCAGCTGCAAATTTTACACATTGAGTAGTAAAAATAATTAACTAAAATACTTTAATTAGCAAATAAGTAAAAATAAATAAATATATTCAAATTTTTCTGGCTGTTTATAGTCTTCCTATGATAAATTACAAATTTGGTCACTCAACTTTTCGTCTATTTACATTTAAGGTCTCTTGAGTTTGATCTTTTCCACTTGTAGATAACTGAACTCTGTTAGAGTTGGGTCTCGTAAACCCAAGGACTAGATATTTTCTTTGAGTCATCTTTAAAAAGTGCACAAGATTAATTAGGAATTAAAGTTTTTTCTCATAATGAAAAATAAGAAACACAAATCATACTAATTTTAATTAGTTATCATTTCTCTAAACAAAAAAATAAGCCTTTCATTTCTCAGAGTTAGAAAATCCGTGCATTATTATTAATTAAATAATAAAATTATTATTCAATAAGACAACCTCAGTATTTAATCATGAATAATTGTAACCTTTAGTTCATATCAATGACTCTTCCATTTTTCAAATCTAGAGAATGAAATATATTTTCTTAAATAAAATAATAAGCAATCCAAAATTACATTAATGTATCAACAAAATTAGTTATCCTCTTGGAATTTCAAGTATTATTTTACTAGGGGTGTTCGGTTCGGTTCGATTCGGTTTTGGACTTAAATCAAACTGAACCGAACATGTCGATTCTGATTTTTATTAGACATGATCGGGTTTTTTTCAAAAAATCGAAAGTTGGTTTGGTTCGGTTGACATGTTCGATTTTTCAATTTTTTTAATTTGTAAAAAAATTCAATATAAATATAAATATATATAATACAAATATAAATATATGTAATATAATATATGCATATAAATATATATATAATAAATACATTATAGATAAATATATATAAATACAATGTAAATATAAATATATATATAATATCTATATAATATATATATATATATAAATAAATGGAATTGGTTCGGTTTAGTTCGGTTTTATTTTAAGACAAAACCGAAACCGAACCAAACTGATCGGTTCATGGGACCTTATAATTGAATTAAACCAATTCCTTTTGGTTTAGTTCAGTTTGTGGACGATTTGGTTCGATTTGATTCGGTCCAATTAGTCTAGTTCGGTTTTAAACACCCCTATATTTTACTTTAATTTTCAAAATGTGAAATATAATATTTTTAAAGATTTTTGTAAATTTTTTTAAATACTTGGAAAATATTTTAAAAATTAAAATTTTCAGTTCCCTGGGGTGCTTTTGTGCTCACTGCTGGTTGGAAGTTTGACAAGTAAACTTGTATTGTGGTAGGTGAAGTCTGTTTGGGAGTGCTTATAGGTTTACAAGAGTTGTATTTGTTTAATCATTTTTGTACTTATAAATGGATGATTAACTTAATGGATGATATTATCCTTTGCAAATGGACCCCTACAATGATTAATTTGGTGGGTCATAATTGTCCCCAAAAGCTTTTACATTTAATACTAGTATACATAAAAACAAATATATAAATACAGATGAAGATAAGGATTTAAAAGATCCTCTGTTTGGAAGAAAATGGTTAAAATTTATCCCTAATATGTTTATAAGTATTATATTTAAGGTTAAATATAACAACAAAAAATTTTAATTATTAATTTAAAAATCAATAATTTTAATTAATTTAAAATGAAAATAGAAGAGGTTTTGAGATCAAATGAAACTTCCAAAAATTGTGTGATCTTGGAGAAAGAAGAAGTTTATTACGATTTCTTTGATATTGTCATTACAAATATTATTCTTATTTCTAACAAGAGAGCGAGTATTGTATAGGGTTCATTTTTTATACGAGGGATAAAGATAGTACCTTCAAAAGTAGTATTAAAGAAACCAAGTCATTATGACTTGTCTTACAATTTAAAAGCATTAGGCAAGAATCATCCCATATTTTCCTTTTACCTAGAAGGTGGGTTAAATTTAAGGGCATCACTTCTTTGCCAAAATCAAACTTTCCCTCGATGCCTAAGCTTCAGCATACTTGATGGAGAGACATCTATCCATATATATTACGTTTTTTATAATTTATCTCAAATAAATTTATTTTATTTAATAATTTGCATGTGTATTGCATGGTCAGAGCAAAACAAGAGGCCTGAGAGTGGCAGCTATTGTCCCGCTGAGTTACTGTTGAGCCATGTGATTAAATGTAAGAAGGTAAAAAAGGTGGGAGGACTTTCTCCCATGGCAAAGAAAATTAATATATTTGATATTGACGACATGGATGTTAGGCTCTCACATGGAGAGGTCTTTTTCTCTTCATGTAAAAAGTGAGAATAGTGCTCTCAAGTCCCTACTATCTCTTTATGCAAGAGGCGAGAAGTGTTCTAACGTTCAATATTAACGTCATATCACAAAAGAAAAAATTTTAAGAGTGTAGATGTCATAAAATACTTTTTATATTTTTTCCATTTCCTTGCATAAACATTTTATTTTTGGCATATTTTTTTCTTTATTTTTCATAATTAAACATTTTGAGTTTATTTATTTTTTTAATTCAAACATATGATATAATAGAAATATGTTTGATATAAATTTAACTTGATTAATTTTAATTTATTTTAAATAAATAATTAATAATTTTTAATAAAATTTTAAAACGTAGTAATATTTTCACAAATACAACACAAATTAAAATAACTAAGGCTTTAAGGGCGAAGGAGTTATTGAAATTCTCTTCTTTTTTTTTTTTTCCCCTTATTCTTTTCGGTCTATTTTCCAGTGGAAATGAAGAGACACAAAAGGCCCACAGATTAAAGACCCAAACAATACTTTAACAAGAAGTGGAGGTAGCACTCACTCCCCCCTCAACTTGTCTACTCCAAGGGCCCAATGGGCCCTGTAGGCCCTCGCCCACCTACAACTGCGAAAGACTTTACCCTAAATGTGGTGGGCCCCACTCCCACCACCTACCCAATTCCCACTTCCATTTGATATTTTCATGAAATTATGAAACATCACCCTCGCCTTCATCCCCAGCCACCCTGAACCGCCCCCTCTCCTCTAAGAATGGCAGCGGGTGAGTACAAGGCGAGTGCCAGTTTTTCAATCCTCGCATATGATGAAAAATTCGTCCTTATAGTCGAGGATTAATTTTAATTTCAATCTTATTCTTGTTAGATAGTATTATATTGATTTGAATATAATTTATTTTTAAAAAAATTAATATATTTTTATAAGTATATTACATATTTTCTTAAATATATCTTTTAGTATATTAATTTCTATGTATATATTAGGTATAAGATAGATTGAATGCTATGATCTTCATCTCTGCCTTTATACCTAGAAAAATTCTCTCCAAATTCTTAGATCTATCATAATCTCTATTTTATAATATTTATATTCAGCCTCAAAAAAATAAATTTATAGATAGCAGTCAAGTATAAGAAAAAATTTGATCTCTATTTTATAATAAACCCTTCGTACTGTATTTATACTAAATTTTAATATAATATATTAATAATTTTTTAATAATTATTAAATTAATATCATATATTAGTTCTAATACTAATTTAACAAATATTTTACCCCTCCAATTGATAAAGTTATCACTAAATAGAATCCTCTTCGTTGGTCCAGTGGCCACCCATTAAGTAAAACCCAAATTAAGTAGTGGAGGCCCGCTAAAACCCCACCCCTCACTCTGAGCCTGGCCCAATCACATCATGCCACCTCAAAGTATGGCCATGTTTGCCCTGTTTTCCTCAATTTTCAGCTATTGCTTTGTGACATCTTATCACCTCTCTAATGCGCCCTCCTGTAACTATCATGGAGGGCAACGGGTTATGGATGGTCTTTTAGAGCCTCCACTAAATTAACATCAAGCCCTCCGTGTATCCACAAGAAGATGCATCATTTACTTCATTGCCACTGCCGTTCGCAACTCTTCAATCTGGACCATTCGGGTGTGTACAGATGACTGGTAGTGATCATTCAGTCACCGAATTTGGAAGGGCATGAGTGCTCTTATCGAGGACACACGTTGACGTGCACGGATCTCGATAATTCGAATCTTTTGTCATCAAATCAAGTCCCGTCGCGGGCCCATGCAGACGGCACTAACATTACACAAGGCTTGTGCATGGATCCGTGTAGCCTTAATCCGCTACTCCTAGCATATAAAACGGTGTAAACATCTCCGCCGAGCTCCGTGGTCATGGAGAAGAGCAAATCACTTGGTGGCTACCCATGTTCGTACTCAGAAGTCCGGTTGGGGTTTGAGGACCGGGCCAAGTCATACAGCTTCAACGGTCCTGACGACAATCCAGAGGTGAAGAGGAGGAAGAGAGTGGCTTCTTACAACATGTACACCATGGAAGGTAAGCTCAAATCATCCTTAAGGAACAGCTTCAAGTGGATCAAGAGCAAATTTGTAAATGACTATTACGATTCATGAACTAATAACATATACCGTATTTGTGAATCTGTGGGCGTGTGGTTTTTTTTCCTTTTTTTTTTTTTTGGCGGGGGGGGGGGGGTGTCCGGTTCTGTGGTTATGATGGTCATAGGGTTTGTAAATATATGTGTACCAGTGTATTTATGTAGATCTCTGATACTCGTGGTGGTTGATGATGAGCTAAAGAAAGGCCTCGCCCCACCGGAACAACAAACTTTATGCATATTTTGTATGTGTAAAGTGATCACCAGATATAACAATTTTGCTTGGTTTTACTGTGATTGCAGCATATGCATATAGGGGATACTTGAACCAAGAATTTGATCATCTGTGCCTTCAAATTAACCCATCGATTACCGAAGGTTTACAATAAAATCCATCTGATAGGGTTATTGTAGCGGTAGTCTGTCTATACATATACACATTAGCAGTAGCACATGTCCTGACACAGTAAAACCTACTGAGTCAAAAGTTCAGCAGCTGTAGGACATGATAGCCTGAAGGTTCCTGTGAAAGTCCAAAAGTATGTAGAGTAACTTTATAAACTTTAACTTAGTCCACAATCACACTAGACACTGATCATATTCATGTTTTATATTTCCAAAGAAGTGCAGTAGCAAACCAACGCATGACAGATTAATTGGTCAAGCCATACACATAATCATATCACAAAACCAATCTGTTTATTGAATACTAAGCCAAGTAAATGGGAAGGACCTACGTGGGATTCTGTAGAAACCAGAAGTTTCTGACGTTTTTCCATGGCCTAATTATCCTCCAACCCAAAGAGTTTGGATATCTTCTCAAGGTCTGCTGTTCGAAGATCAACTGTTGAGATGGATCTTTGGTTGAGGGTCAGCCTGTTGTCTTCAAACGAGCTGGAGGTCAGCCTGTTGTCTTCAAACGAGATGGGGTTGCCCATAGAGGCATACAAGATGGGGAAGTTCTTGATATTTTTCATGGCATTAGGATGTGCCTGAGTTCTTGTATATTGGTTTCCGTAAGCACGAAAAGCTTGAGTGGGAGAGGAAGGTGGGCTCTCCTGATCAGTTCCGGTTGATTTTCTATGTAAGGAAATGCTGCTAAAACTGCTACTCAGCTCTTGGCTATATCTCTCCTGTTAATATTAATGAGAAAGATGAATATATAATCCACAAAATGGCTAGACGTTAAAGCAAAAAGGGACTGTAATTTTAAGCCAAAACAAAAAATTACAACATAAGAAAACATCAAGCTGCAGCCCATATGTGCTCCAATTTGATGCACAGAATCCTTAAGACGAGGTTTAGCAGCATCTTTTTTCAGAGCAGTACTGTATTCTCTTAAACTAGAGTTGCCAGTAGAATAGAATTTGCTCAAGATGTGGCTCAAAGAAGCATCAGAAAATAGTTAAATTCTAGTCTTCTAAACAAACATTCTAGATGAAAGATATGATACCCAATCTCCAACTTGAGGGGGAAAAAATACTATGTGAATCAAATACTTATAGATTGTGTTTGATACTATTTACTAGGTAGTTTTATATTTAGAAAACAATTTGAAAACACCACCCCCTCACTCTGAGAGAGAGAGAGAGAGAGAGAGAGAGAGAGAGAGTTTTAAGATAAGGAGAATAAGACCCGGAATACTTTTTCTAAACAAATGTTACATAGAAATTTTATTTTTTCATAAATTTTGTGAACTTTGGTTATAAAGGGAAACTATTTGAAAGATGTGAATAGTTTACAATGTAAGCACAAGCAGAATTTTCAACAATATAAACAGAATAATCTAAATTTTACAAAACAAACCTTAGAATTGCTTCTATTAAGAGGTAGTACGTTTCAAACGATCCCCATAATCAGATGGATGCAAGAAACCGGGTTATGGTGATTCAGGTGATGTTTGTTTAAGATTAATATTTACAGAATGGTAAAAACTAAAATTAAAATTGAGGATTGTTTTCCTTCTCTCTGGAAGAAAAATATGGACACATTTCATAAATGTATCATTCACATTTTGAGAAGCTACTATCAGTTTCTACTTGAAGTACCACATTTTATCACATACATAATTTGAAAACCAAACTGATACAGAATAAACACATGTTTGGAATACAGTAGACAATTACATTTTGAGTGACAAGTACATTTTTTGATTCTGATTCAAATTGTGTTCTCAAAATTGATAGTGACTGAACTGCATCTTCCAGACACCCCCACACACACGAAAGAGAGAGAGAGAGAGAGAGAGGGATTCCTAACTTTAATTTCTAGTCTTAATTTTGGAGCTTCCTTTACTTTGATTACAATTTCACATTAGAAAGAAAGAAAAGCATCAAAGGCATTCGTGATTGAGGAATTGCTTAGAGTAAACTAGATAATATATAAAATGGGTCATCATCTTGGAGTCTAAACAAAGATTTGGTGAATGACATGGTAACTTCAACTGAATTTTCCTTTTTAGTCATTTTTGTTCAGTCATCTTCCCTCAAAGTTTGACACCTGTAATAGATGTCTATACAAGAATAGTGAACCAAAAACATGTCTTTCACAGAGTTGATATCATGGTAAACACAGCTGGCGTATGCTAATCTGTAAGTTTGTAGTAATCGGATATAAGGGGCAATTCACCTCTATGAAAGATCCAGAATCTTCTTTTGCAGGTTCAGTAATTGAGACCTTTTTCTTGTGACCTCCAGAATACTTTTGAGGCTGTTGCGTTTTTCTATGAGCCCTCATCCTGCAAGAAAGGAAAACTACGAGTAATATATAACTTGTGAGGAATCTCAAAATTGGTTCATTATATTGCAAAAATTGGTTCTTCATGTCTGCACAGCATTCTTAGACATCATTCTGAAATCTTTGCAATTCAGAGAAGTTTTTCTTCTAGTAATTTACTTGCATTAATTCTTCGTATCTAATTTATTTCATCACATCCATTTAAATTTGAATGGATATGTTGTAGAGATAAAAAAATAACCAAATATTTTTTAGTGGAACATCCAAATGATTAACAGTAAGCCCAAGTACTTTTTCCTCAATTCAATTAAAAAGTCCATCAAACTTTGCAGCCTGGCAGAAGGTTTACCATTCATCAGCAAATCCAACTATGAACCCATCTGATAAAATACTTTTGCTTGTGAGCAACACAAGGAAAAAAAATTATAAATTCTTAAGTTGAGCATTGCGACACAGAGTTAAAAAAAAAAACTTGGCATTTTATTCCACTCAAGATTTTAAGTTCTGCTTGGAACTGTGAGCATATTAAGAAAAATATCTAAGAAACTTTTCCACTGCCTAAGCAGCTAAGCAGATAAAAGCACCATGATCATGATTAATGTTATAAGAAAAAGAAGGAATGGAGAGACAAATTACTTTTTTGGATCATTTGTCATAATTGGCTCATCCTCTTCGTAAATTGATGGTAGACCTGAAAGGTCACATGCCAATGGACTTGAACTAAAGAACTGCAAGGGGGAAAAAAAAGGAAGAAAAAAGTTAGCACTATAAATTGGAATTAAAAAACAATATCTGAAAACTACTAACTAGCATATGCCATAATTTTCACCAAAAGTATAAAAAGGGAACAAGAAGGAAACAGAAGAATATTCTTTAATCACTACTCAATACTAAAACACTTTTGGCACTTTTCAATTTGATGTTAGATGTACAATCCCAGGTGATTTGGTTGGAAGGTTCAAAATAATGCCAAAATTAAGTAGAAGATTTAATAGATTCCAAGATACGTACTCTGAAAAATAAGTTGTTAGTCATACACTATGATCAAGTCCCATTCTTGTATTGGATACCAATACTATGTTGAATATTATATTTCTTTTAGTGGGTCCAAATGCACATTATAGATATAAAGACAATAAGGAATAGATGTTGATTCCCCTATAACTGACTTCATTTTGAAGAGCTGAAGTTGCGGTGCCACGGTATGCTGGTTCCAAAGCTAGCAATGTTGTCAACAGACTAAAGGAAGACATAGGTAAGTTAGCAAAAGCTTCTTGAAAATTGGGCTTGTATTCTTGTGGTGGTCGAAAGGTAGTTGACAGCTTCCTTCGTCGCCAATAGTCCTCCGAGGGTGAGCCACAAAGCTTGAAGATCTTGTGAAGTTGTTCAACCTGAATATGCAAAAAACTTAATGAGGAAAAGAAAAGGTTTAATTACATCTTTCTAGAAGATGTGATTATTAACCGTGTCTGCTAAGGCCATAATGTCTTTAATTTGTATGTTGAATCAAAATTAAAGATGCTTCATAGAACATTTAATTTCAAAGGTATGAAGGAAATATTTTAGTTTTTTTGGGAATCCTGAATGTTATTTTTTCAACTTAAGATTGCTTTATCAAAAATTCCAGTAGGAAATTATCCATAGAAATATTTGAGGAAGGCGAACTAAAATATGTCTCCTTTGGTATCTTTGTTTCTTTGGTGGTGATGTTTCGGTGGGGGTTATTTGAGTGCTTCTGTTCCTCATTTTCTGGATATATCAATTGTATCAATGGAAGTTTTACCTCCGTTCTACCGGGCATGATTGGCCTCCCAATGAACATCTCTGCCAATAAGCATCCAGTGCTCCAGAGATCAATTCCAACTCCATAGTCAGTTGATCCTAAAAGTAATTCAGGTGCTCTGTACCAGAGTGTAACAACTCGGCTAGTAAGTGGCTTTTTGGGTTTAGGTTGAAAAAAATTTGCAAGTCCAAAATCTGCAATTTTTAGCACTCCGTTTTTGTCTATCAATAAATTGGATCCTTTGATGTCCCTATGTAAAATTCCCCTCTCATGACAATGCTGAAGACCTGAAAGTAACTGCTGCATATAGCACTTAACCTGCATAATAAAGAATTACCAATTTACAAAATTGTTACTTCTTATTAAATATTAGATGGACATTTGTCCAAAATATTACTTTTTAATGAAAGAGCCATGTCATCTTCCAAGTAATCACAAACTTGTCAAATCTCTTAGGACTAGTTCAGGAATGAATATATATACTTCTCTCTCTTTTCTAAAACTGCATCCTCTAACCCTTTTCTTTTCTACACTCCTCCTTCGCTATTAATGTATTTTCCAAAATTAAATTATTCTAAATTGCCAATAACCATGGATAGAAGTGGCAGTTAAACAACTGAACTGCCAAAATCAGAGAAATGTACCTGTGGCTCTGTGAGTCTCCCCTCTGGCTGGGAGATAACTCTTGCTAAGTCTGATTGCATGAAATCAAATACCAAATAAAGACTATATGGCATTCTTGAGGTGGCTAGTCCTTCAAGCTTGATGATATTCGGATGATCTAGCCGCTGCAAAATTATAATTTCTCTTGCCATGAATTTCACACTCTCTGGCTCTGATGTATCAAAACGGACCTTCTTTAAAGCAACAATCTTTCCAGTGTCTCTATCTCGTGCTTTGTACACATTGCTATATGTTCCCTGGCCTAACTGCAGAAGAAATGAAACCCAATTGAAATGATATGTTTCAGAGAGAGAGAGAGAGAGAGAGAGATACTTCTAAGAGCAGCAATGAAATTGGCACAGAGCAATTTAAAAATAGGCTCATAAATGTGTACTTATATCTAATAATTCATAAATAAATGCAAAAGAAGTGGTTGCAATATTAGCACAATAATATTATTATCAAATATAATGATCCTTTATGGGGATAAATATTTACAATAGCTGTAGGAAATGTGATGCTACAATTGTTAAATATATGGCAAGTAATTATTCAATTTGTTTTCATAATATAAGCACAAGATATACCAGATGTTGTAAACATATATAGCAGAAATATATAAGAATGTTGACAGAAAAAGGCAAATTTGAGTAATCTCTTGGTTGATGTTGAATCCAAAACACTTCTTGTGAAATACCAAACCGCATATTTCTCGTTTGCTTGCCAAGAAACTGTGAGACTTCTGCCAGGCTCCTCGGTGGAGAGGAAGAAGCCCATTACAACGAGGAAAACCCAATTTAAATTTGGAAAAATATTGATTAATAACTTTTCGTAACAAGAAAATGTTTCTGCTTGGAAAGAAAATTCATTGATAATCTTCTGACAAACCTTAGGACTATAGTAAATTAACTAACCTTAGATAACTTTTCGTAGGAATCAGCACTCTTCGGAACCAAACCAGCCGAAGTATCTCTGGGGATATGATCAACAAGCCACTTAGGCCATCCATCCACTAGGTCATCTGCAACAATCTTCTTTTTAGAAACCCTCCGCGGAGCACTTGTACTAGTGCTGTTACTGTCTCTTTCTCGACTCATCCCCTTCCTCTCTGCTCCATCCACGTGATTCTTACCGTTTGCTTCTCTTCTAGGCAGTTTGCTTGGATTCCTTGAAGGGTATTTCTGAACATTTGGTCTGCCTCCATTGCCCCGTCCGACATACCCTCTTTCAGCCTTCGACTTATCTAGCTGTGGCGGCCGTGGTGAGGTACTTAGAACGCAACCCATTGCTTCACCACTCGCTGTGGCAATTCTTCAAACATGTTCCAAGCATTTCGCGGGGAATCGAGGTTTCGATGACAGCTGGACGACTATGCCAGGATGATAGAAAATGGAGTGGACAAGGTGACCGAAATGATCTTAGGGTCCTCTAGCCGGCTTTGACACAGAATCGCGCAGGAACTACAGCTATAGGCCACTTCTTCAGCGTCGGTTGTCTCCGTCACAACAAGAGGGAGGAGAGGAGTCCCTTTTTCTTCTTTTCTTCTTTTTCCTCTTCCTTTCTAGGGAATTGAAGAGGAAGTAGAAGATTTCAAAGCTATCCATAATCAAAGAGATGGACTGCTTTCCCAAGGACGTTATTTGGAGTATGTGAAATGATCTGGAAACGATTGGCGGGAGCTTGGAGGTTAACCACACCTGCTATGTGAAATGATCTCGAAATTGTTGGTCGGAGCTTGGAAGTTAACGACACTTGCCTTGGCGGGTAGGAGTGGAGCCGGTCAACTTCTATTCTCCTCAACCTTCCATGCACTGAACGCTGGGGTTGTATATTGGGAAATGGGAAGCATCTTATATAGATCAAGTTAATCCAATCTCAGATTTCTTTCATTCCTATATTTTCAATTAAATAAAACTTGAACAATTCATTTTCTTATCAATGTCACGAAACTTTGTGTTCTAGTGAAGGAAACTTCTATCATTCAGATAAAATTTTAAAAAAATATATTATATATACTCATCTTCACTTTCTAAGCAGACTAAGTTCTTTCTCATCTTTACATTTCATCTACCGAGATCATAGATTCTGAAAAAAAAAATTCAAAATTAGGATAGTTATTCATACCTATATTAAGTTCTTCTACATTTTTCAAAATTTCAGTCTATTCTGATTTTTTTTTTTTGTTAAAAAGTTTGGACGACTTGGTAATTTTAATGATATTTAGAATTAAAATGTAAAATATTTTAATTAAGGTGGGAAGAAAAAAATATCCAATTAAAGATATTTTTTATTCTAAAAATGCCCATATTATTAAATAGATACATTCTTGTAAGAGATACAAATATATATTTATGTAATAAAAAGTCTCATTATTATACAAATATATAAATGTAAATATGTAGATACATGCTTCTAGCTCCTATTGTTATATATACATACTTGTAACATTACAAGCACATATTTATATTGTAACATCCCAACTTAAAACCCTCGTCATGTATTTTATATTTTATTTTGTATAAGTATAATTAATAGGATTATTAGCTGTTTAAATTTGTTTAAAAAATAAAATAATAATAATAAAATAAATAAATAAATAAAAAGAAAAAAAAGAAAGAAAAAGAATAAAAGAAAATATGATTTCGTGGGGTGAAATGTTCCTCCCACTTGTTCACCATTTTAATAAAAGGGAGAGTGCTATTATGTAAAAGAGGGAAAGAAAGAAAGAAAAGAGAGAAAGAGAGAGAAGTAACTCGAGAGAGAAGAGGAAGGGAGCGAGGGAAAAGGAGAGAGTGGCGAACAAATGAAGGCGAAGGAAATTTTAATCAATTTTTGAGTAAGTTTTCAATTAGTTTTTTTTATACTTTCAATCTATTCGTGTTTTAATTTCATTTAATTGGTATAAATTTTAATTTAAGTGCTATTTTTGTGATAAAAAATCAAGAAGTAATTTCTACTAGTTTAGATTAAATTTTTTTTATTAATTCATATTAATTTTGTTAAGAAAATGACTAAGTTAATTTAATAAAAGTAAGACTAAACTTATATTAAAATTTGACTAAAGCCCAACCTTGAAGTTCACCGACCTACCTACACATTATTTTTCATAAAAAAATAACTATAACTCTTTTTGTGAACATGAGCATACTCCAGTATACCTAACTTGGCAATGAGTATATAATAATATTTTGAGAATTTTTGGAGTATGTGTGTAGTAAAAATTTTGACCCAAAATAAAAAGGGTAGAAAATAACCTAATTAGGAGTACATCTCATGTATGCACTAGTATATTCATGCATTCATACACAGTTTTGGCATGTTATTGATAGCGTATATAGTTGCACTTTAGGAGAAATATACCGGCCTATCAGTGAGGCCAACAGGACTAAGTTTGGGAATACACAGTATCAGTAAAAGTGAGTGATCTTTTTCCTAAGCTCGGTATTTTCTAAAATAACAAAATTAATATTTTTCTTACAAATAAATGTTTTACTTAAAAATCAAAAGTTTTATTTTTGAAATGCCTTTTAATTTATATGTTATGATTATTTTGCTATGAGAAATAGAAACAAAGATTTCATTTTTATGTGGTATGTTATATATATAAATTGTGGCAATTCACCTGAATAATTCGTTGGGTAGCCACGTTAGTGTGGCAGTCCTACATGATTTAATTGTCCGGTAGGGTCTTACAACACCAACAAGTTATGTATGTTCGTCCATAGGGGTGGTGTCCTATGGAATGAGTCTCATGGCTAGTAGCATGCAATGGATTCTTCTCATATTAAGTTTATGTCTACGTGCACTTTATACCTCGTGTTTATTTATGGAATCGTTTTGTTTTTGCTTCTATCCTTAGCCATTTTAAGATATTTTGGTATGGTTGGATCTGTAAGCTCAACAAGTGAATTAGCCTTACTTTTAAATTATAATCAGTAAATTGATAACTCACGATATAATATTCTATATCAATTATGCCAGTTTTATAAACTACTTTTATTTACAATATTATGCAACATATTCCTGTTTCACTGGTTTTAATGAGAAGACCATTGACTGGGACGCAAGTCTTATCACTTAATTATTTTTTTTTCAGTTTTAGCAGTAGAGACCCGTAGCTACTTACGTGCATCCAGCTTAATATTATTTTGTGTCTAGCAAGGTTGGGTCCCATTCTTGTCAATAGTAGTTAGTTTGGGTTGTTATTTGATGAGTAAACATTAAACATTTGTTTTGTACGTTGATATTATTTTGGATAAGAGGAGTTATGTAAGATAATTATATTTTTAGTTATGATAATAACTTAATTTTCCTGTTTTGTTATGTCAAATTTTTGTAGCATTATTTAGTTTTTATGTGAGTTATACATTTGACTCAGCAGGTATGACAATCAAATAAGGTTTAGCTTTCTCCGGTGAATCCTAGGCATCAGAGATTACAAAACCCTATTCTATTATCACACCTCGCTCGAGTTACGGGATGGGGTGTGACAATTAGTGGTATCAAAGCAGTGTTAAGATCTGTAGGGAGTTAGTATTAGTAAATTTTATAGGAAAAAAAAAAAGTTATCACATTTAGAGTATGTGTATAGCATTACTAATAAATATTATTTGACATGTTATGTTGTATCAGGTATATGTACCAATCATGGTGAGAACTAGGAGGAACTCAAGTAGTGCTTGTACTGGTTAGAGTAGGGCTAATAGAGACAAAGTGGGTCAACCTCTTAAGGAGGCATCTAGTATGTCATCTCCTGCCCCAATGGCTGTGGTGCATCACACACGCATGATTCATTGGCACAACATCCCCTACCTAAAATACCTGCACCTGTTTCTCTAGTTCAACCACAACCAGCTGCTATGCAACTATCAGAAGTGGCTACAATGGCAGTTCCAGTAGGAGGAACCATTATGGCATCTACTTCTAGTTTTTAGATACAGAGGTAAGAAAAAGTAAAAATATTGGAAAAAAACTAAAAAATTAGGAGCCAAAAAATTTAGAGGTACTACGGATCCATTACAGGTAGAGTTATGGCTTAAAAAGATGGAAAGAATTTTCAATTTGATGAGCTACACAGACGAGGAAAGAGTGCAAAATATAGCTTTTCTTTTGGAATGGCGAGCTTAGTAGTGGTGGACATTTTACACCACTCAGCAACCTGCAAGGAAGGTAACCACTTGGGAGGATTTGAAGACAAAGTTTGATCGGTAGTATTTCCCAACTGTCTATTAAGATAAAAAGATG